ATTAGGACAAACAAGTACGTCAGTGGCCACAACTCTGAGTGCACCATTAGGACTAACGAGTACCTTAGTAGCCACGACTCTTAGTGCGACATTAGGACATACAATCAGGCTTCATAATATCTGAGTGTGAAATTAAACCAAACAGTTTAATTGTTCCTTTCGTCCTGATAAGATATAGCCAGGACTTGAACATATCTATGGCATACCTTTGCTCTAGTCCAAGCTTCGATGACGTGACGTGTGAAGGTGCGTTAAGAAAACACAAGGAAGTGGACCAGGGTACCGTTAGACCGTCCGGCTCATCAGTGCACTCGCGCGCGCGTTACAAGTAACTCGTGTACAATCGGTCTCCGGTCCGGACCGTAGTGCGAACAACGGCTCTTTAGTTAACGGTAAGTTTTACGTTACGTGTATGCTAAGGAAATTCCTATGTTTTTTTCACGTACCAACATTTTATAACTTCATTTCTATACAAGATACAAAGTTAGTAGCCTATGTTTTCTTCCATACTATGCTCTAGGCCAAATTTCATCGAATTCAGCAGTTTAGGCCACAAATTCTAACTAACGTCCATCTAAACTATCGTATTCATAATATTAGTAGTAAACGGCAGCCGATGTAGTATTTATATTAAACAAGTAAATGAGTGTTATTTTTAATTTAATGGAAAAATGACGTTCAAAAGCGGTATATCGCTTAACTTATATTGTCAACTGAAATTGTCAAGCTGAAATTTTATTAAAACATCAAGAACTTCAAAACATATTAAGTTATTTCTACATAGTAGTAACTGTAATGACGACAGTTTAAAGATTAAATTGTATTCCCACTGTCATGACATGAACATGTTACCGTAAAATCATGTTAACTTGTGAGTGAATTATTTACAATTTGTCTTGGTAAATCAAAAACCGGCGGTATTAATGATTAACCGGTGACATATATTGTTTATGTGTAAATAACGTATAGCGTTATTGAGTCAGCCCTAAGTTTTTGCGGAGAAAGTGACCCTAATTTCTAGAAGTACCGTCAAGGGTGCGGGAGGTTTGTTGTGTATCGGACATTGCTGTTGCCACTTTCACCGGTTGTTATTGTTTGTCCATGTTAGCACTGACATATTACACTTTGTATGTAGGTTTTTCGGCCGAAATACATAACAATTTAACGGTTATATTACTATCTTACTACTTACTAATGTTATAAATGCAAAAGTTTAGATGCATAGATGTTTGTTAGAGTTTGTAGCCTAAACGGCTGTATAGATATCAATAATATTGGACATGATGTAGAGGTTAGTCTGAAAGAATTGATAAGCTACTTACTTTTGTTTTTTTTTATAATTCCAAGCAGACGGAGTCGCCGGCGAAAGCCAGTCAAGAAACACTAGTGTAGAAAATAAGATTTTAAAGACGATGAAATAAATTTCATCCAGTTTTAATGTTCGGTTAAAGATTACGATGTTTTTCAAGTTTAATATTACAATAGCTTTTATTCGACAAAGCGTGTAATGAAAATTAACAGAATATTTAGTACCTGTTCTTAAATTTAACCAAACTATCACACAACTGTTATGCGAGTGTCGATTGTTTCACTGTTTAGTTGCACAACTAAAAGACGAGTAGTGTATCTTCTTATAAGCTCATAGGAATAAAAGCGAGACTCACTAGTTAGTTGTGCGATAATTTAGTCAAATGTGTGCGCACGTTTTTAAGGAACTAACTGTCGCTGCGAGGATTTTGAGAATATAAATAAATTACGAATTTATTATTCAAAAATGTATGTATCTAGGACAGAATAGAAATGGTTTAAGTCACTCTTTGAAAGCCTGAGTATATAACAATGTTTTAAATGCGTTATTAAAAACGTTATAAATAATATTAAATCTTTTATTTCTGAAACAAAACAAATGAATTACGGCTTTCTTACGTTAAATTAATATTCACATTTCTCTCTTTCTTTCACAAAAATTAGATAGAGATAACAATAGTTTAATATCGGTGGCGATCACAAGACTAGGTGACTTGCTGATGTTACTTGAGAATGTTTTACAAGTGCGAACTCACGGTTAAACATATCAAATACAATTGGCACGAATTCCTTGTCCGTTTTACATTCCACGCGTTGCTTTCACCGATTTTATAAAGGCGCAGGGATTTTTAAAATAATCAAAAAGTCGTTACGTTTTGAGACGCTATTTAAATTTTTTGTAGGTCGTCATTTAAATTGTTGACATTAACATTATGTAATACATAGAATCTTTACGTTGTATAATCTGTGGTTATTCCGGGTTAAGTTACAACAGCTTTTAACAATGTTACTTAAAGTTCATAAGACAAACTAAAGTTTCCAATTTCATATATCTTCACGTCAAATTTTGATCAATCGTAGGGGAATGATTCTATTTTACTAATCTATTTAATTGACCGTTATTCTGAGGCATTTAATTTATTTCGACTACGATCCTTTTGTTGGTCTGTCACCAAAACGTTTAAAGCTTGTTCCAAATACCAGAACAATTCGATGGACAACGGTACTATAATGAGTGTGGTGCGACACACTTACTGCCTCTATACTTATGTTACCCTGGTAGTTATCACAAATTAATCCATATTAAATGTAAATAAAGAGAAATAAAATTACGATATCACTAGTACATAAAATCGTTAAAATGTATCAAAATGTATATGAATACATGAGAAACACGTGACTACTTAGATGTTAAATCCATACATTTTTGAATTTCCCATCAGCGATATTGCTAGTACATTGTATAGAGTTGCTATTGAAAGGCCTACTGCAGAAATCTAAGTTAAGATATTTAAGAGTATATGAATAGTCCTTAGTATAGATTTAGTCTAAGACATCTACTGTATTAAAATAACAATTATAACTACTATAAAAGCAGCAGACTATGACATCAAAATTTTTAAAATTCAATCACAATTGGCACATTCCACTTAGTAATTTCTACTCCTGTATATTTATGCGAGCCTGGTACTTCGGTACCTACCATGGTGCAAGTCAACATAACAAGGAAACGCAATACCATGTCAAGCATAATTATGTAGAAGTGAAGTGTTCCGCAATATGTAGGCTTATTTACAATAACTTAGTACTATTATGTACTCAGGTATGCTGGTAATTGTTTGAGGAATCCTTTATTTTCTTCCTATTCACAAGTTGTTAAGTAAAATGTTTTTTAACTTTACAAAAACGGGTACATTTAAAAGACAAATGGAATATTCAGACATTTTAACAAATAGATTATTCATAAATGTTAAGCCATCAATAGCTACTCAGAAGCTCGAACCTACTCTAAATCCCGCTATACACGCTCGATTTTATCTGCCAGTTTAATCTGAACAATTCGATCGTTCAGCAAAATCTAATATAACTGGAGACTGTCCAGTTTCAGTTTTACCTTCTTCTTCTGTAGCTCTACAGCCCTTTGTGGGCCTTGGCTTGGTCCAGAATTTTTTTCCATTTCGGCCTATCTCTGGCCACGGTCCTCCAGTTCGCTATGCCAACGGTTTTCACATCTCTTCAGTTTTACTTACAGGAGTTAAATCTATCTCAATGATCGAATTGTTCAGATAACTAGTTATTTTGTATTCTATGTGAAATTGTATCACGATTCATTTATCGCAACGTGAGTAAACGTTTGTAGTAAGGCTTAACAATTATAAGTCACCCTGTAGGTAAATTATAGTGCGTGCTAATATTGCATGTGACACTTGGAGCGTGGAAATGACATAAAGTGGAAAGTGTTTCCGGTACAACACTAGTGTTGTGGCCCGTGTCCCGTGCTATCATTAAATGTTACCAAGTTGTCATAAGTCGAGTGTGACAGTAATGATTGAATAAGTTACAAATCGATGTATGCCAATTTAGTTACAAAATATTAATTAGTGTGGTGCCCGCTATCGTTTAAATTTTTCTAAGCTCTATGCATAAAATAAGCTTTAATCACACACTAGTCAAGTTTAATTGTAATTTTACTTTTTAATTTAATTTATTGATTTTAAACTGGGCTAGAAAGAGTGATAAAAACTGTGATATACGAGTAGAAATAAGATACATGTAATTTTAGATTTAGCAACACTGTAAACTTTTTTGAAAATAAAAACACCCGCAGGTCCCTTAGCGATATATGTCAGGGGAGCGACGAGAGCGGCAAAAGCCACCATAAAAAAAGCTCTATGCAATGTTAACTGACGCTCTTACGATCAAATACTGAATGGTACAATTACGCTTCTTACGTGCAGTTTCGGTATGGCCTTATTATATCCTGTGACATATTTAAATGCCGTTTTAGTGTTCATTATTATTTATTTCATAGCATCTACTTTAGTGCAGCTATTTATTACAATGTAAAGTGATTTGCTACTTAATTAATGCTATTAAATGATAATAACAATTTGAATTAGGGACCTTACCTGCCATGACATTGTGTAAATTCTATACAGAAGTAGGTTACCATTTATTTTACTTTTCTATAAAATAATTGTAAATGCTTAACCTATTCGCTGCTACTAATTTGCTCATCGAATTTAAGAGTAACATACACATATAGTACGTGATTTAGTTCCCCATTTAGATTTGCCAGCTTAATTCTAATTCTATAGTAAGGTAAAAGCATCAATAAATAATCGCTGCGGACCCGTTGTAAAAGGAGCGCAGATGACGAACTAGAAATGAGAACGCATTCCGATACTCGTCTGCAGTTATACGATTAACATAATGGTCGCGCTCCACTGACGGCGTTGACTCATAAGCGATAGCGATTCGATGTAGAGATTACTACTCGTGCTAAATAACATGACAGGAGAATAATGACGTAGACAAAATACTCGATTAGAGTAATATATCGATATTTATCCATACCTCTATACTAATGTTATAAAGAGGTAAGATTTCTATTTTTGTACGTATTAAAAAAACTCAAAATACTTGGCCGAATTTAAAAATTCTTTCACCATTAGAAAGCTACGTTATCAGTGAGTAACATAGCCTATATATTTTGGGCCAATTAAGGCGGCCAATAATACCAGTAAGTAAATAAATAAAATAATGTTTAATCTAGTTTTATCATACCAGTAGTTGGTACACTAGCATGCAAACTACTGGTATGCCAGTAGCTGGAATGCCATAGATAGGTATACGGTATGGGATAAAATCTACTTTAATATTCGTGGAACGCAGGTTTTATATCCGAGTGTGCATACCGGTTTCTTAAGGGTAGTACGTTGACTCAGCATTCTAGCGTCTAGTTTATTTATTTTAGTATAGAAAGCAAAGTATTCTTGAGCGAAGTAACCTCCATTATGATAAAGTATTACTTGACTGCTGTATTTACAATTGTTTATTGTTAACTAAGAGATTCGATTCTAAGTTATCTTGAATAACGTTTTATAACAATACAAGGAAAGGTTTTTAAATTAGAGGGTCCATCACGAACATTTGCGTGTCAGTTTCGAGATAGTATTAGTAAGGTTGTCGACAAAATTCGTATTCGATTTGTGCAGCCCTACCGCGCATAAAATACCAACAAAAGGGTCTCATGTATATTCGTCATACGCACTCTAAAACATATAATAAATCGGATAACAAATACATGCAAAGGAAGTATCTTCAGCTTACATACTAATATTAAGTTTTCCTATGCAAATTTTTCATACTTTAGTATTGTACAGAGGAGGAAAGATTTATATTTTTTTTAATTCTTCCACCATTAAAAAGCTATGGGAGCTCTAAGTAACTTAGACTAAATATTATAATTTCTTCTAATTAAACGCGGATAAAGTAGCAAGCAACAGCTAGTATAGAATATGAACAAATCTATGTTAATATTCTCATAAACATCCGAAAGCCACACCAAAAATTTTAATACAGCTGTTTAAAAACACCAGTGGCATACATCCTCCTTTCTGTAACGGGCCGAGTCCAAAAAGCCTGTTTTAGTTAAAGAGGTCAGTTATGGCTATAATGACCGCCAGTGGGTCATGGCCGCGGAGTCATTGAACTTTGACGGGTCTTGACTGTAAAAGTCGGATACTATAAATTAATTTTTATAAACATTTTAATGTACATTAATTCTATAAAACTAAGAGAATAATTTAATTATACTCAAACATTTCATACATATCTGTAAATCTATACTTCTTTACTAATAACATAAAGAGGAAAGATTTGTATTTTTGTATGTATTGAAATATCTCATAAACTATTGGGCCGATTTTATAAATTCTTTCACCGTTAGAAAGGTAATTTATCTGTGAATAACATAAGCATTTATTAACTTCACGCGAGCGAAGTCGCCAGCAACACCTAGTTTGACTTTTTTAAATACCGAAAATTAGAAAATAACGTGAAATGTAAGTTTCTGTTTAATTTTGTTTTCATTAAATTTTCTTTGTCTATTATTTTATTGTATTAACTTTAAATCAATAACACAAAAGATGTATTCCACATGATTCATTATTTCATGCTAAGAATATTTAAAATCTTAGGCACAAAGTATTCAAAATAATTCCTTGTGGCTTTGCTTCATACTTTGTGGTTTTATTCAACAAAGGATTGGGAATTTTAACCCCTTTGTGTGACTATCGAGCGTATTTGCTTTGTGAACCTGTATGTCTCATGTCGTTATTTTTCCGTATCTCCAATGAGTTTCAAAATCAAAATGTTTTTACTTGAATATTTAAAATCACACTAATGTATGGTGGATGGATGTTTGTTAAAGTTTGTTGCCTAAACTGCTAAATGGATTTCGATGAAATTTGATGCAGATGTAGAGGACTGTCTGGAAGAACACATTAGCTACACTTTTTTTTTGTATTCCACGCAGATGAAGTCGGGGGCGAAACTTAAAAATAAATTTAAGCAACATCAATTTTTTTTATTACTCGATATATGTTAATTGAAAATTTATTTAAAAAAAACAGTATTTTTAAGTAGGCAGGTGTCATAAACATGTTTTAAAAGTGTCACCGAAATACCGTTAATACAGGTTGTTCTTAAATTATAAACTTAAAGAATTAATTAACTAGATAAATAAGCTATATTTATTTAACGTTATAGTAAACAGTATGATCACTTTATTTTCACATTATTTTCTGACTTTTATAACCTTTGACTTTTGACTTTGACCTTTGAACTATCGCACAACTGTTTAGTTTAAATTGATTCCTATAAGCTTGTATGGAGGTGCGCACACAACTCGATTTTTAGTTGTGCAAATAATCGGTTGAATGAACTGCGAAACAATCGACAATCGCACACTTGTGCGATACTTTAATCAAAGGTGTGCGCCCGTTCTAAACCTCTTACAACTGTATTTTCATTGTTAAATGATAACGTCAAACTTTTAACGAAACCTGTATCGTGGTAGAAATCATTTTAAAATTGCAATTCTAATTATCATCATCTTCCTACTTATACTACTTCCGTAGGGTCGTCGACAGGTTTTTGTCCTCCATATCATAGGTCATCTCAGTCATCAGTCCCTTCTTGATCATGTTTCCTTTCACGCAATCTACACTCATAATTAACGTCCACCCAATACATGCGATTCATCCCTCCTGTTTGCAATTCTAATATGTGTATTTTTCTTTTTTTTTCAGGTAGTCCGCGAATATCATCATGACGCGTCACAAACGTGCTAACACGAAGTGGACATTAGTTATAGTTTTATTTGTTTTGTGTCAAACGGTTCTTTCGCGACCTCAAAATGATACATCAGTGCTAAGTTCTACTCAACCCAGTGCTGGAGACGGTTCATCAGAAAATCCTATAAGGTATAATTTTAGGAGTAATTTTAATATAAGTACATTTGTATCTCCATTAGCTATAAGTTTTAGTAATCCTAATTTAGATGTTAACTTAAGAAACCAAAAAATATCTAATGTTAATGAATACATTTCACACTTAAAGAACTCTAGTATATTTCAAATATTCAATGAGACTAAAAATACATCACACAGACGTAGTCGGTTAATAAGAGGCAATAATATAAATGAATTTCAAAATTACCGAAATAACAAAACAAACGGCGAAGGTAGGGCATACACTTCAATATCTAAATTAAAGTTTAGCGAACAAAACGTATTAAAAGGCGATAGTTTTATCGAAAAAAATAAACCTGTAATTAGAAAAGTTATTACTAAATGGACAGATCAAACAAAATATGAAGATTTAAAATTTGATAAAGAAAACAGTGAATCAGGTGATGGTAAAATAGTTGATAATTCAAAAGACAGCGACTATTATACCAGTAATGAAAATAATAGTGAAATTAGTGGCTTATCAAAAGATAATCATCCGAAACTAACAAAGAAAGTATACTATAAACCTAGACCGCAATATTCAGAACACCCAATAAATCCTACTGTGCAATACACGGACTACAATCCATACAGTCATACTAGACCTTATATATTTACTACCCCATCGCCAACGCCTATAATCACCAACGTAGGTTATCCTCCACCTTGGCCCCAGCAAAATTATCAAGTTATGCAACCGGTATCAACAACACAAAGACCTACTAGAGTAACGAACCCCATAAAAGACCATTATAATTATCAGAGTCATGTTAATAATTATCCTCAATATCCAGCCAATAATTACGAGGTCACAACTTTCCAACCAACTTCTGCCTATACAGACAGAATTATAATACGACCGGAGGAATACAGTGCTTCACCGGACGAATGCCCTACTATTTATTTAACACTGAACAATACCTTCCAAGGACAAGCTAAAGAAGCTTGTCCAGATCTAAATATCGCAGTAAATACAAACGTTGTCAATAAAAACAATGTCATAGAATCCGAGGAAGATACAGAAACATCATTCGCTGATGTTTTTGGTATACCTTCGATGGATGATTCAGAATCAGGTGATAGTAATAATGACTACAATGAATCCGCGGAAAGCGATGAAAATACAGATAGTGCTTCTATAGAAGGAACAGCATTAACTAATTATAATGCAAACGCACAAGAATCAGCAGAACCTGGTAACTTTGCCTCTCCTAGTTCCGCATTATCTACAATCACAAAACCTGGACGTCCGAGTGATAATGACGATGACGTATTTGGATTTTCGTCTATTGTAGACTTCTTTAGACCAGCTTTAAGTGCGTTTAATTGGTTAGCGACGATCAGTCCTTTAGGATTTGGTATAATTTCTTTTATTTTAACACCGATAGCAATATTGTTTGCAGGATTTTCAGGACTTGCAGCATTATTTGCTCCCTTATCGTTGACGTATGCTAGAGAGGCTCCTAAGTTACAAATACAACCGCCACATTGGTATGGCGATAATAGTTATATGTCAGTAAAAGATTTAACTATGCCTAATAAAAGATGGTATTCTTCACATGGGACAGATAAAGAGTCGAACGATAAAAGCGACACGTCAATTAAGCCAACATTATTTTATAGAATGAAAGAATGGATGAGAAATTTAACTGCTAAATTAAGAAATAATAAAAGAAGTTTTACTGTAAATAGTCGTAAAAATAAACGAAGGAAACGGGAAGTTTGGACATCAACTGTTAAATAGAACTTAACACATACGATAAAAAAATACAAATGTTAACAATGTAAGGATTAAATTTTGATGAACAGATCATAAACTGCATAGGTACGGTTTTCACGTAACTTTCTGCCACGCACAGCCGTGTTGTAGAATGGTCGGTCCTCGGTGGTATTTCCAATCCTCTACGACTTAGGGTCCTATAAGAAGCGAGCATATCGCATATCGCATATCGTTATTCGGTTTTAGTTGATATGTACTACACATAAAGTTTTTATAAAGTAGATTGTTATTGACTTTAGTAGTTGCAGTACGTATTTTTTTATTAAATAATGAAAATATTTTACGAGTTAGTCAAAAATACCATTTTGCTTACTTTGGTCAGCCTTGTTAACACTATTATCTTATTTACAAGCAGACTTCTCGGATGAATTTATTACTTACAGGTACACTACAATAATATTCGTCTATTTATCTACTTTAATTATGTTTTTTTTATGATATATGCGTACTTTTAATGTAAACATAATTATTTTTAAGTATTACAGTATTATCTTTAATATTACTAATTTATTTATTTATTGCTTTGTAAAATAAGTATTTATGCCTATTTAAGATTTAGTTGTAATTGCTCCTTAAATTTTAAAACTTTTTTTTAATAAACATTTTTTTATTATTTAAGTGTTATTTGTTTTATTTATTTAATGACATTTATACCAAATACGTAGTCCTGAAATTTATCATAAATTGCAACGCCAAACCTAATAGTATAAATATGACTACACGATTTAAATTAAGATTGAAGACGATAAGCAACATGTGTTAGCGGATCACTTGATGTTAAGCGACAACTACTGGACTTAAAACTGCGACAAGAGTAAAGAATTTAAGGTAAGTAAGGAAAAGATAGGAGAAAGATAAACGTAACACGAGGAATGATTGATTTGTAGGTTGTCATAATCCCCAGGGAAACACTGAATTAGAAAATATTCAAGCCTCATTTAAATTCATTACAGCTAAATAATATTTTTGTCACTATAGTATCATCCTTCTTTACTGACTTTCATGTTCTCGTGAGCAAAAGACGTACTACTGATCATAATAAAGTTTTTTTTTCTAATTTCCAGAAACGAAAATGTCGAGGATGCAAAGCCAAAAGATCCCTCGCCGCACCGCTCTGAATCTTCTAGTACACCAAGAGAAGAGAAGAAGAATAAGCCACCAATTATTGGAAATTCAATCCAAACGGTTGCAGGTCAATTGCTTCACAAAACTGCAAACGAAACTATCGAAAACCCGATTGTAATAGATACAAGAATACCTCCCAAGCTAAAAAGTCAGCTGAAACATCGCATAAAGACAAGAAACGATGACGGCGATGAACCAATTGAAAATTTTCACACTGGTATAGCGGTTCCTGTAACTATGGAAGAATTAGAATCTGAAAATACAGTTACAGACGTAGTAAGTGAATCATCTACTCCAAACGAAGGAATATCAACGTGGATTCTTTTAAACAACCCATCAAACAAAGAAAATCCATCATCTACAACAGAACCAACGAAAATTGAAGATCAACCTAAAAAACAAAAGCCTGCAAACACTAAGAACAAGAATAAAAGACCACAAAATAATAAAGTCCCAAAAAGACCAATCATCGGTAGTACAAATAAATCTGATCTAATCGCCGGTGGTTCCGCTATAAATGAAAATGTGTATAACAAAATAAAGGACACTGTTTTATCGAACGTACAAAAGAACAAAAACACTGTTCAACGTACAACAACCACTACTACGCAATTAACTACGACAGATACACCAACAACCAAAAGGGAAGCTACTAAAGCACCAAGTTCAGCGGTATCTGTAGCTAAAGTAACATCCAAACCTGCAAAAAAGAAGAACAAGAATAAGGTAAAAGTGAGCACTTCTGCTCCCGAAGTTAGCGAATCAGCTTTATTACCCATGGAAGCTAAAGAGCAGGAAATAGAAATCGAAGTAAGTACACCTGTAACAACAACTAAAAAACCTAAACGGTCATCTACTAGAAAGAAAAGTAAGACAAAGAAAAGGAAAACAACTAAACCTAAGACCGACAGCACCACTGCTGTTACAACTGAGTTGAAAACTGCAAATAAAACAAAATCGACAAAACAACCGAAACCTGCCACAAACGGACCAATCACATCACAAATCTACAATTATTTTTCAAGGGAAGTAATGCCCAGTGTGGGTGTAGGCGTCATTGGATTAGCCAGTTTAGTAGGAATTGCTAGTTACTTCTTGTATCCGTTTGCGTCTCCGGTAAGACGAACTTTCGAAGTAGATAAGAAGGACGACATTTACAAGCACAATGCCGAGGAATATGGAAGTGAGGGCAATGGTCAAGCAGAAGAAGAAATGTTAGGAACTGTGCTTGCAGGAATGCCATCACATGCAAAGCACAAAATCATAAATCCATATGCTGCTCAAACTCCATCTATAAATCGGTATCAAGTTAAAAAGGATCAAGATATTAGGTATCGTCATGTCCAACAACCGGCAAATTATGACCCACACTATAAAGCACAACAACATTATGCTCAACAAAAAACTGGTATCGCTCATGGCGCCGTATATCCCGAATCATTACATTACAATCACCCGCATTTCGAAACACGGCACGCTTACACAACTGAACACAAATATGACAAAGCTTCAACGTCCTATACTCCTTATCCTGCAGTAGAACCTATTTATGCAGCTCCACATACAGGCTCAGGAATTTCGTCGTACGGCAGTGACACAGGCAACGCTGTAGTCTACGGTGTTAAACCTTCTGCAGAATCTGATTTCAAGCCGGTTTATCCGTTCGATGGACAGTTTTACAGCGATACAACTAATCCACCTGCTACATATGCACCAACATCAATGTTTTTAGGTTCTAATAATGAGGAGGAGGATGCATCGGATAAATATGATAACTCAAATTCTAACAGTGGCATGGCAGATAATAAATTTGTCGTGGGCAATGTTCCTAAAGAACTAAGTGAGGAGTCAGATACGCCAGCTGTTGTTCCAGAACACGGGCCTAGAAGTATAAGAAGGCGTCGTCATTTACGTAAGCGTAGAAGTCTTTCACAATCTATTGACGACTTGCTCAAAGCTGCAAAAGATAATAGAGATGTTTTCTTGAGCAATGAAATAGACGAAATTCCTAATATCCCAGGGAAATATTCCAGCATGTACGAAATGCCAGCGGAAAGTATCAACGTACCAAAAACTTCGGAAGGTGATAATGTTCTGGCAGTTTATGCAGTGTCTATGGATCCCGCTAAAGACCCATCTCTATCCGAAACTACTACAATGAAAAGTATTGTAATTGAAAGTGTTTCAACTATACCCTTAGATCAAACCAAGCAAGATATAACAACAATAGAAACAGAAGGTGCAAAAGAATTGGATGTTACAACAAAGACGTTTAAAGTATTCGAAGTGTTCACTAATAACCCTTTAACAACCGACAAGAGTAGCCCTTTAATAATCGAAGACGCAGAAAAAACTGACACTACTCAGGTAAGAAATTCGAATACAGAAACTACAACAGAATTAAAATCAGAAACCACTTCAACCATGCCTCCTACTCCTTCACCTGTTACTGAACCTAAAATACCAGTCACGTCACCAACACCCGATAGTCCAGAAGTTATAACTTACCCACCGTTAAATCAAGATGGCGGATTTTTCGGTTTCCTAAAACGTTTAGTGGAATTCAAATACAGACTTGGATTAAGTATATTGCAAACGACGTCTGATTCTCTTAACAGATATTTACGCACGATGGAAGACACAGTGAAGAATGCAGCGAATGCGTCGCATCATTAATTTATTACTAGGTAATTTATCAGATACTCAGAATTTCGACTGTTTTATATTAATTTCTTTCTACATTTTACATTAATATTCAATAAAAACCCAAACGAATTAGATCAAGGTTAATCGAAGCTTTTATGGATCGAGGGAACTTGACTTTTTAGGTGTTCTACTGACGTGTTTTTATAACGACATTCGTACGTGTATCGAAATCAAAATGAATTTAACAAAGATGTTTAAGACATTTTTTCACCAGTACTTTCTTTGAAAGGATAATAAGCTCCATCTGTTATAAAATAAACTATATAGTGTCTAAAAATAAAGTATAAACTTAAGCATTATTTAATGAGATTATTGGCAATTAATTTAAATGCAATTACCCCTAATTATATCGACATGTTTTGAGGATATGTCAATAGATAGCGTTAGTGAGACCAACAAGTGAAGTGTCAACTATGCCATTCTTTTAAATCTCTTTGGTATTTAAAAATCAAAATGTAGACCTTTTAAATTGTGTATTTTCGCAAAACCGAGAAATTATAAGACTTGAATTTATCTTAAGTATACTATTCCTTGCTTTATTTTCTATTGTATTGTATTAGTATTAACCTTATGCATTTAGATTACAAGTAAAGGACTATTACGAGCACTTTTTACTATTTACTAAGAATGTAACAAAAATTTTTGTAAGTGTAGTTTGTCACTTGTCGTTATATTTTTAGAATAAACATCACTAATTAAATAGAAACATACCTAATTAACTTTTCAACGTGTTAATATGGTTTGATGTGACTGTATGAAAATTACTTCAAACGAAGCCTTTTTTTTAACTGTCGACGAAAGACACTCATTTCTTATTCTGTAGAAAAATATGTAAAAAAATATCGAAAATTTTAGTACCAATACTATTGGAAAATCCTCAACTATTTTCGTTAAAAGACATGTTTATAAAACTAGACGATAGATGGCACTGTTCAATATTGTTAAATTGTTAACTCTCCAAATTTTTTTTAGAAAATCTAAATGGATGTTATATATTTTGAGAATGTTATCCTCGATGTTTTTAAATTAATTAATTGAGGAAAGCCTTCTGAATTTATATTGTGATATAATCGATGTATTTAACACGAAAATATTTTAGGGTGAGTTGCACCATATCGCCGGTTACGGTTAAAGTTAAAATTATCTGTAACGGTAATATTTGGAATAACCTTAAAATTTACTAAGGGTGAGTTACATTAACTAACTATAAACCTTAACCAGCACATTCCCGATGGTTACGTCTGCGGATGTTCATGATATTCGCTACACCAGCTTTACGCTGGTCAAAATGACGTCATATTTGACACTAATCATAACCGCCCGATTTTGGGCGGTTATAGTTAGCGTTACGGTTAGTGTCAGTTCGGTAGTGTCAACTGTCACAAGCTCTTATCTTCAAAAGTACAAATAATGGAAAAAGTAATGGAAAAAGAAAATCTCTACTATAATCCTATACGTAATCCAGAAGAATAAAGTCTTGCGTGCTCGGAAATAATGGATTTCCAAGATGGAACTCGAAATTTGGCCAAACATTCAGTTTGGACAAATTTCGAGTGTCTAAGGCCATAGCAACAGCGCTTGTCCCTTTTCTCTTATTTAAAAAAAGGTCCTCCATAAAAGGACAATTTATAATATGCATTGACAGGACAATTTATAATATGGAAAATAAATAAGATGCATTTATATTTGTATAATTTTATTGCTTCATTTTTGGCGCTACATATTTGAGTAGTAAAGTAAATACAGTTTCAATAATGGCCCAAACTAATTTATTTTCACAAGAGTGCCATTTTCTCCATCTCCGTGGGCAAAAAGTTTATGTCACTATAAAATACCATGCGTATGAATACATAAATGTAATCGGCGAAACATGAATTTCCAAACATTTTAATTTACGTAAATGTCATTCTTGACACTTTAGTGACATTCAGGTTTAAATGTTTCTATTGTAAAAACGAAAAATACATAAAACCTCTGTGAGAATATGTTTTTGCACTTGTAACCCTATTATAACTTTTACGATAACCGGCGATTTGATGCAACTCACCCTTAATGTTACAAGTTTTTAAACGAATTAAACTTTTAAGGCTAAGATAGGTTAAAATCGAATTTAAAAATGTAAGCTAGTATTTTATACTTTTGTATGTAAATATTGAAATAAATAATTAAAAAAAAACTTTGTTTTATTTAAGTAATGTACTGATATGTTGAAAAAAAGAAGATTAAAAATAAATTCATACGAATTAATTTGTAAAATCTAAAAGAGTGACATCTATAGGTAGCATTGAAAAGGTATATCATGTACACTTTTGAATTTCTCATTCAATCTAGTTTAAACCATTAACAATAGATGGCAGTTAACTTGATTGTACCTATCAATGAAAAAACTTTGGGAAAACGAAAATAAACCACATATTATAATAACCATAAATTTTTAAAAGTATAATCTTATTGCCTTTTTTTATTGTGTTGTAGAAGCAATTTTTAATACTACGGTAATAAGTTATAGTTTATTTTTGTTCTACAGATGTAAATTATATCTTTAATTAAAATTCCAACAAGAATTATGAAATGTTTCGCTGTTCAAATTGTTTTCGTAACGTTTGACCGTATTTTGTTTTCATATAAAGTGTTTTGGGTAAACACAACAGGAGACAAGTTGGGTCGAGGGTTAACTTCGTATAAAAATAATAACCCTTCAGTGAAATGGTCGGGATGTGACACAAAGCGTCTCACTATGGGGGTCAAAATGTCCCTTGTCTCAACTTTGTTTCCATTAGGGGTTAAGGAGTTAATAGCATTTAGTTACACATAAAATAATTTGCGAGAACATGTTGGAGTGAATTTGATTCTGTAAAGGATTTTTTAAGATTTATCTAGTTCCTTAGCTCTGGTAAACGCACACTCAAAGTCTTTAGAAATGTACACTCAGCGACATGTTTCGTCGTCAAAAACTGTGATAAAAGTAACTGGCTGTATCAGTGTTACTGACTGTTAACAAATACGAAACTCAATGAGGTTAATTCTGGAAAAAAAAAGGACGAATTTCATGTAGTTACGTTTATTGGTACTTAACTTAACGATCAAGAATCTAAGACTTCTTGTCGAGTTGTTTTCGATTCTTGATCGTTATCATCCATCGATTGTTATTGAATGTTCATTTATAACTTTTTGCACGAACAAATACGGCCAGGGTAAAGACAATGAACACACAATACGCTACCAATTTGCGTAACGTAAACATAAAGCCCCGTTTCGGCCTTTCGTATTCAAATGAACTTCGCTGAGTGTACATCGAACAATGCTATTTAATTTATTCTTAACATACACACTATTTTATAAAAAAAAATAGCCTATAGAAAAAACAATAATTAAAAATTGAGCCCCCTGGCGGACACAATCGACAACATTTTATCACATCTCACAAGCTATAGATAGACATATTACAAAATTTAATATTATATTTTTAAGTATACAAATAACAATTTCATGGTAACTATTTACTTTGTAGTCTTCTGCTGTAGAAATATTAAAAATGGCAAAGCGTAATTAAAGTAGAAAAAAGGAATAAAAAACAATTCTACATTTCTACGAATGTCTTTGTACGGGGCAACCGGTGAGGTACGGATATTTGTATATTTATTTACTTGAGTGGTGTAACAAAATGTAACATTACATTATTAAGTGAACGTTCCTATATGAGACACACATTTAACTAAACTATGGCAAAACTGTTGTGCGATTGTCGATTGTTTCACAGCCGATTCAACTGTTTAGTTGCACAACTAAAAATCGAGTAGTGTGATCAAAGCGAGACTAAACAGTTGTGCTCTAGTTAAGTTTTAGTTGCCACAGACTCTTAAGGACTCTTTCATGATTTCTCTGTTGAGGTTATCTACCTTTGATCGTGCTACAGAGGGTCACAGTGCATTTGGAGTTCCCGGAAACTTCGTATTTTTGTAAATGCCTACCGTATTTCAGTATGTTAAATCTTGTATAGAAATTATTATGTCTAATAGCACGATATCTTCCCAAGATCCTCCGTAATTAAAGAATAATCTATAGATGTTATACAAGCAATCTGGTAGTAATTTATTAGAAATATAAACAAAGTGTAACTTAATTTATATCTAAGATGGCTACCGCTGGATAGAAAATTAAGAAATTTATCGAAGGACAGATTAGAAGTTCGGTCGCAATGGAGATTAATTATTTTACATCCAAATTGATTTTAAACTAAATTTACCTCGTCTTGAAATTGTTTAATCGTTAGACTTTAACAAATAGTTTTAAATGAAATTGCTTTTAAATTACTTATAATAATTGGATATTGTGAAAATAACTCTTTAGTAATTTTTTAAGAATTGCTAAAATTGTAAATGCCAAAAATTGAGTATATGAGGTACAAAATGAAGATTGTAATTTTCTATAGTGGTTTAACAATCATCACCATCATCACCAGCTCACTATACCTCCCCACTGAGGAGCTCGCAGCTTACCCTAAGGGGTGACTAGGCCATAGTTAACTACGCTGGCCAAGTACGGATTGGTTGACTTCACTCATATCTTTGAATTTCTTCGCCGATATGTACAGATTGCATCACGATGTTTTCCTTCACCGTAAGAACGTCGACATTCGAAAATGGAAAAACATAATACATGTAGATTACAAGTCAAGTGCGCCACTGAGCCACAAACGTTCTTAAAAAAGACGCTATCATTTAAAAATGTTACATGTTTATAAAAAAGTTAATGAAAATATTCTATCAATATTTTTTTTTATAAAACATATTGTAGGGAGTTTTAAATCACCCTCGGATCAAATCGGCTCCGGCCATCGATCATTAAAAGCTTTCCAACGTTATTAATTTTTACGTAGAAAAATATGAAAAGAGCCTTTGAACTTTTTAAATATGTTTTTAACACAGGCGTATTAAGTATCAATAAAGTAGCTAATAGTTTGATTTAAAATAAATTAATTGGGATCTAGCATAGACTTTGAACCTAGATGTCGCTGGTTACTTCGTCGACTTAAGAGAAGTATTTAAAAACATATATTTGTATTTTTTGTCAACTTACAAGTAAAAGGATATTAATATGACTATAACTAGTGTAATTAAATTAAAGCCACTGATCCCGTCAGGATGGCAGGCTATTTCTGTCTGAATGACATTGACAGCTGTCAAATAGAGGCAGGACGAAGTTCTAGTGTTGTCCAGTTTTCTTTTAACACAAGTTATTCAAAGAAATGTTTCTTCATAAGTAATGTTAACTACTACAATTTTTTTTCAAAGCTGTACTTGTCGATGTTCTTGGCCAATACGATATTAGTTATTAAGGAGGTAAAATGTAAATCACGAAGGACTATCTTAGTTCTTTCTAATATAATTGTTAGCTTTTTAACTATTTTGATGTATTCTGTGTTCTTGAAGGTTATTTAGTCTATGCTATAAGTCAATACCATTGTTCATAATTTGAATTAACGATATAAGCTTTGTAATTGTGATCCAAGAAATTATTTAAATATTTATGTCATGGTTTTAAAATGACGTAATTCTGCGTGTTATGTTAATAATCGGATAGTAGTCGGATGTCAAAAATAAGGGTGTTGCATTAGCTCGACGACACGACGGCCATATTGGTAAGGTTATTTTGTGCAAATTGGAAGAAAACATAAGAGGTAAAGAAGACTATATTTTATTAAAGCATAACATGGTTGTGACGTCCACATAATAGATACGAAAGTTTGGAAGGATGGATGATAGAGTTTGTAGCCTGAACTGACGATCGGACCACGATAAGATTTGGCATGGATGTATAGGATAGTTTTTTCTTTTTTTTTAATATTACTAGATTCTTGTTAATTTACTAATATTTCCTTTAACCACTCCACAACTAAGCTCTAGGATTATGCTAGGATATGGTTCACGATAATAGTCGACCGCAAGATTGGCATTCCGTATTCCACGCCATTAAGCGGATGGAGTTGCGGGCGAAAGCTAGTGCATAAAATGATTGAAAAAAGGTATGCTTTACAAAGTTTAAATCAACAACATCCACTTACTTTAAGTGAAAAGCATGTATTGATAATGTCGTGAAAACTGGCAAGAACTTCATTCGTATTCCACTCAGTGAGTAGAGAAGTTGCAAACTTTGTGAATGT